GGAAAGAAGCTAGTAGAAACATGGCGGTAGGTCTATAGTTGTTGTGTGAATATTTAGCTCGTGTGAGTATATGTTATGTGCAGGGTTATTGTACGATTCATAGTGCGGCCGTATAACGCACTAAGTGTCCGCGTTATTATTGCGGCAGTTAATAGTACGCGTATTGTGCGGCAGTAATAGTATACGGTATATTTATAGGTTGCGGCGTTAATTAGTGTATGCGTAGTGTAGAGCGTGTCCTACACATACAGTGTGGTGCTGTGTACATGTGACGCGTGGCGCGCGCGGGCCCAGCCCGGGCGTTTGGTTCAAGGATTAGAGTATGATGTTCAAGATTGAGACAGGCCCGTAGCCAGGGCGTTTATGTTGGGGAGGGGGTTCGTTTTTCAATGTTAAGCAATTTGCTCGGCAGGGGCGTGTACGGATTTGTACCAAGGGGGGTTAACCGTAACCAAGTATTAGAGACACGCGAAGCGGGGGGTCTGGGGAAACAGGTAACCCCAACCCCTCCCCCAGTAAATTTTTAAAATTACACCCCCTCAGAAATGGAGTCAGATGCGTTTTCTGCGTGAGAAGGGGCGTCGCGACTCCACTGGACCCCCCTGTACACGCCCCTGCTCTATGGGCGGCGAAGCGACTAGGCGAGGAGCAAGCGACCGAGCGGGGACGAGGTGCGGGGAGGGGGCGTGTTCACTGTTACACCCTCGCCGCACGATGGAGATTTTGCAATTATTCACTAAAATGGAGCGACCTGAGGTGAAATTCTTGAAATTTTCAACAATTATTATTTTTTTTGCTTGGGGGGAGGCTCGGGGGGGGGGGTTTCGTTCGAACCCGCCCGACCCCCCTGGGCTACGGGCCTGCTTGTAGACCTAACGTCATTTGCCCGTAACATGGCGGCGGTAGCCCCTTTAATCCTGACAGGGCCCAGGGGGTTCTTAGAAGCGTGTTGTTTGTGCATTTCACGAGAAACATGATATGACTTTACAGGAAGTGCTTGAAAAACTGCGTTCAAGGACACACTCGCCGTTTCGACTGTTTCTCACATTGCCCCGTGCGAGAATTCCCGTGATGTGTCCTGTGCTACGGCCCTCAAAGTGTATCTGCGTATTTATGCGACGCCGGTATTTACGACATGATGACTACTACTAGCTCTATATAGTCTATAGCCCGGCGCTACAGTTGCCGCTGACAGTACAGCGGGCAACGCTTGCCGCGCTGGCCCAGTACCAGTTCACGCATACAAGTAACGTGCGGCTGACCGCCGCGGCAACTGTACGCGGGCTATAGCCCACGTTCATTAACTGCCGCAGGGCTATAGAACATTTTTCAGCTAGATTTTCGTAACTGCAACCTGTTACCACCTGTCCCACGCAAAATGGATCGCAAACGCTAAATGATCGGGCTTTTTAACACTTATTTTTATCTACATGGACATCTCACCTATCTTTTGAATACTTTCCACAACTTTACACCATGTATTTATCCGTTTATTCTAAAAATGCCAAGCACTACTTGCAAATTCGTTTGAAATGCTGTGTGTACACGCGTGACGTCACCCGAAATGTAGCTGCATCAATAGCGGATATATAAGCAAAACACATGGCAGCTATACACTGTGGCAGCTATGATGCAGCTACATTTTGGGTGACGTCACGCGTGTACACAAAGCATTTCAAACGGAATTTACAAGTAGTGCTGGCACTTTTAAGAATAAATTGATAAATAATGGTGATAAAGTTGTGGAAAGTGTTCAAAAGCATAGGTAGAGATGTCCATTAAGATAAAATAAGTTGTTAAAAGCCAGATCATTTTTGCGTTTTGCGATCATTTTCATGGAGACAGGTTGTAACAGGTGTGCGGTTACGAAATCTAGCTGAAAATGTTCTATAGCCATGCCACAGGCACTTGGAACGTCTCAATAAAAAAAAATTAATGCTAAATAAACACGAAATGTACGCAAAGTCTTAATGTTTCTCCTACTCTATTTCGCCTATAATTACTTGTAAATGCCGGTCAAATGCCTCATCTGCAACACACAGCGTACACCGCATGCCTGCCCGCCTGTGCTGATGTAGACAACAACTGAATATTTAGAGCAGGTATGAAAACCGATTGAAAAATTTGCTCGCAGCTCGCTCATTTCAAACCATCACATCTCGAAATACACATCTACAGCTTCCATCTTTGGTATCTATGTGTACATAAATGTTCACTTGTTCGAATTATATCTCTGGCCTTTGTTGCCTTACCTACTCACCCAGAGATATCTCTCGTGAATCCTGCAGGAAATGTTCTCTCCGTGAAAATGTAAAGAGGACGTTATCATCCGAGAATCCCTAACGGCGCTACTATTCGATTGATCGCTGTAGTCGTAATGTGTGTTCGTGGCGTCCTGCGCCGGCGCATTGTGCTTGCTTGGCGGGCCCTCGAAATGGTAGCTCGGAGGCCGGCAGCAGCTCATCCCGGATCAATGCGCCCCATTACTCGTTGTATAAACAGACATCTCGTCCTCTTTACATTTTCACGGAAGAAACATTTCCTGCAGGATTTCACGAGATATCTCTGGCGGAGTAGGTATAGAACTAAATGCCAGCAGTTATATTCGACAAGTGATCATTTATGTACACATAATACCAAGATTGAAAGCTGTAGGATGTGTATTCGAGATGTGATGGTTTGAAATGAAGCGAGCTCGATGGCGAATTTTTCAATCCCGCTTTCCTACCTGCTCTCTTATTCATGCTTGTTTGTGTACGCGCAGCACAGGGTGTGTGCGGTACTTGTGTGTTGCAGATGAGCATGTTGACCGGCATTTACAGGGTGATTATGAGCAAATAAGTAAGAGAAACATTAGACTTTCGTGCTTTATTTACCATTAATTTTTTTTATTGAGACGTTCCAAGTGCCTGTGAGCCCTGCAGCAGTTAATAAACGCGTATAGTACTAGAGCTAAAGCGGATGATGCTACTTGCTCCTCCGCAGTAAATTACCTGGAAATCTGTGATATTCGTCGCTTTTTCGGAAAGTCATAATGAAATAAGAAAAGTACAGGGGGGGACTGGTATTCGCTCCCACCTCGATTACTCCATCGAGTAACTAAGCCGAGAGGTGCGACCGGGTACCAGTCTAGCGTCAGGGGGGGGGGTGCATACAGTGGTCATCCTCATAGCCAGCTAACATCTGAGAAGCCGCTGCCGGCCCGCGCGGGCTGCATACAATTCTTCCAGTTCTGTTGGATGCATTCTGTACATTAATTAATATATCTATCTATGTTTCCTAAATTAATCTGGTTACACAAGGTGAATGCTTGCCTGTTTCTTTTCGTCCCTACTTTCATGTCTTTCGTATTCACTCTTCTATTATAACTCATGATATTTCCATGTATATATATCGTTAGGTTAGGGTTCGTTTAGAGGTTAGGGTTAGGGTATTAGCAGGAATATTTTTAATTTTAAAATTGTTTAAAGGGACAGTAGCTCATAGGATTTTACTGCATCAACTGTACTTATTGTATAACAAATCGTCTATCCACATGTATTTGTCACCAGATACTTAATAATTATTACACATCAACGCTACGAAATTTGAACGGCGCATGACACCCGCGACCGTGCTGCCACCCTGAAAAGTTGCGTATTTGCATTTTTGATTTTGCAGGTAAATGACGACGAGGCTAATCACAAAAAAGTGCAATTATATTTATACCTAAATGCTATTTAAGCGAAACGATATTCATATTTAGGGCAAATTTATCCATTTATAACTGAAACTATATGTCGTTATAAGATAATTACAATCCTTTTGCTTTTTAAATGATAATAAAGAAATACCCTCCGTCTGTAGCCTTGGCTGGAAAGTCCGTTGCGCAACTTTCTCAGATCGTGCGCTTTGAGTGGCGCCACCGTCGTTGTAATCAAACTCGTAGTCGTTAGTTTTAAAACATTTAAAAAAAGTTATTTCTAATGGTGATTGAACCATGAAACTTTTTATGTTAGCGCAATTATAACCTAAATTAGCTGAAAATAACCCTAGAACCTAGAGGCTACTGTTTCCTTAACTTGTTTACATCTGTATTTATAACTATTTTCTATTTCTTTGGCCATTGCAGTTTCAAAGCGGACCGTCCAAATCACGGGCTGCACGGCTCGCTGGCTAATACGCACACACAACACACAGATACACACACACACACACACACACACACATACACAACACGCACGCACGCACACACACAATACGTAGCTTATGAAACTATAGCCCTCTGCTCCGCCGCAGGGCTATAGAAATACTATGGCAGTTTTGTAGTAAGCAAAGACAACTTTTTGCGCTTAATAACTTCTTCGGTATGCCAAATAAGCACATTCTCTGCCGGACAAATGTCTTAAGTTACTGCAAACACTAAAATTAAACTGCAAACTAACGGTTAAATGTTTGTACTTGCTATATTACTCGTTCGACGAAGATTATTTACCAACTTGTCACCGCCATTTTTCGTTGCGTGGCGCTAGCGCGGTTCCGGCGCTAGTGACGGGGACAATGTATTTCCAAGTGGAGGTGTGGGCAGGTTGCACGCGGTTGCAGGCTGTTGCGGCAGACAGAGGACCGATGGCAAAGAGCCGCGTATCGATGGAGAAACAGGAGAATACGCGTCTATCCGATGGCTATTTATCGAGTTATGCCGTATTTTCTGAGATTTATTGGATGAACACAACAAGAAACCGCCATGTCCGCCATGTTCGGTGCGACTAAAATCGGCAATCGACCTGATTTCCAAGGCAAGTAAAGTTTTCGTTATGATAATTATTAAGTTGTTGCAGATTTATGTTTTCTGATTTTTAATGTTTTTATATTTATTTATGTGTGTATATGATGCTTAATTATGCTTGATTCTGTTTTTCTAAGTATTTATTTTTATCTATAAATATGACTATCGTCAACGTAGCATTTCCGTTGCTATGGCAATTCTCTCTGTAATCTCAGTGCTCACTACGGACAACATGCCTGATCATATAAATTCGGCTCTGCAAACTCTTGTTCGACAACATGTCTGATCATATAAATTCGGCTTTGCAAACTGTTGTCAACTCTCTTAAGCTACCGTTCGAGCTTGGAACTGAACAGAAACAAATATTAGTAGCTGCTGCCCAGAAACGGCACACTTTTGGGATATTGCCGACTGGATATGGAAAGAGCGAATGTTTTGGGCTGTTTAGCCTTCCGATGGATGAAGTACGTATTAAACAGCATTATTTCTAGAACTATACATCTGACTATGTCAAAGCTATGTAAATATATAAATATATTTGTGTGTGTGTATGTGTGTGCGCGCGCTCCCGCGTGCGTGCGTGCGTGCGTGTTTTCATCCATTCTCCCCAATGTATAATTATATCAGCACTGACATTATAGTTATACGTTCTCCTACAGTTGCATCCTGAAACCCAGCACATCACGTTGGTGATTTCACCGTTACGGAGCCTCATGCTTGACCAGGTCTCGAGATGGTCCAGTCGAGGCGTTAGGTGTGCAGCTCTTCTGCGAAAGCAGGACATGAAGCAGGAAACTGTGGCAGGTAAGGAATTTCCCATCACCAAATGAAAGAAGAACACATTTTAAAATGTTTTTACAGATCAACATTAAATAAAAGTAGAAAACATTCTTTTTAATATTTTACCGATTTACACTAAATGTAGCTCTAGTAACAATAGTCCGCGTACAGTTGCCTGCGACAACTGTACGCGGGCTATAGTTACTAGAGCTACACTAAATGAAACAAAAAATGTACAATCATTTTTTTACAGACCTCCACAAAGGAGTATGCAAAATCGTTTACTCGTCACCAGAAGCCATAATGACACCGATATGGTGGGAGTGGGTCCGGCTTTCTAAGAACAGCATCACCTTGCTTTGCATTGATGAGGCCCACTGTCTCGCTAAATGGTGAGCATGCAATAGAAGCGTTACTATGTGGAGCATACAGCCACGATTATATTTCATGGAGTGTATGGAGTAAATTACAATGTAATGCATGGTGCCATCACCGCTTACATCTTTGTGAATTTAAATAAAAAACTAATTTTTTGTTGTTGAAAATGTCTAAATTAGGGGCGGGACCTTCAGAGAGCAATATCTGAAGATAGTAGAGCTCAGATGTCGCTTGGCGAGTACACCTGTGATGATGCTCACTGCGACAGCGACCTCTGAAATGGTCACGGCAATAATCGGCGCCATGCACTTGAAAGAAGACGCCGTTCTAAAGGTCGCACGTCTTCCTGATAGGTACATACACAATGCTCACAATACTTAATTGAATTTTTTTTACACCAATGACACTGATACTAAATGTACATAGTTGTATATAAGTACACATAGTGTATATAACATTTCTGATTTTGAAATATACATTGATTTTGAAAAATACCTTAGAAATATTCTGTACACAGACCAAACATTCACTTAACAGTGAAAACTCTGCCGAGTAAAGCCTTTGATAAAGCGCTCGGATGGTATGTATCCGAAATCAAAGCCAAAGGCAGCCTGGCAACAAAAGCCCTCATTTATGCAAGGTATTTTTCTATTACTCTAAGTAGGAGTAATAAATTGTGAAGTAGTACGTATTTACAAAAGTGAGGCTGAAGGCTACAAGTACACCTCAAATGGGATCAGTCAATATAAACATACATTTTCAAATACACTTTTTAGCATAGTCATTACAAACGTTACTAATGAGTGGCTACAAAAGGCTTATTCGCTATTTGCAGACAAGTGGACCATGTTGCTTCCATCTATCACTGGCTGATGCTAGAGCTTGGGTCTGCTGCCTATTCAAGCAGCACGCGTGATGTTCACAGCAGAGTGGTGGAGATGTATCACTCCTCAACGGATGCAGACAGCCACACCCGTATCGCCAGCAGTGTTGTGGATGCACAGTCTGCTCTATGATGTGTTGTGGCGACCATCGCCTTCGGCATGGGAATCAACATTTCCAACATTGACATTGTCATTCACTGGGGCCCATCAGCTGGCATAATGACGTATTGGCAGGAAGTGGGCAGGTGTGCGCGCGATGGTAGACCTGGACGTGCTATTATGTACATTTACCCAGGTTCCATAGACAAGAGGCGAGTTGACGAGCCTATGCGCATGTTATTGCTGTCTGCACAGGCTGATGAAACATGCCTTCGCAAAGGAATTTTGCAGTTCCTCTTCACTCCTGGCATGGACAATAATGCACTGCAAAACTGCTCTAAGCCAAACTCCTGCTGCTGTATATGTGACAAGAAGTTGCTGGAACAGCCACAGATGCCAGGTAGGTTATACATTTTTAATTTGACGCCATGAATCCATGGCATGTGAGAATTTGTACAGTTTCCTACCAAGCCTTACTGGAGAGAACAGTTGGTTGGGTGCTTCAAAGTTAGGGAAAGCATCGTGCTCTCGCCCAGGAATGTAGTCGCAGAGTGAGTCGCTGCTATATTCTGTCACGAACCGGCTCACGTCGGCTTTGTAGAGATTTGGCCGGCGCTTACGATTCGGAGTTCTCATGTCCACGAGGCCAACATCTGTGAATCCGTCGTCGAGTGTTCGGCCATAGGGTCCGGACATCTGTGAACATCTCTTCACTGTCTGAGGAGTGTAGTTGCCGTTGGAGTTGGCCAGCAGTTCTGTTTGAGAAATGTACAATGTAAACATGTCAGGGAATTTCATAGTTTGCATTATTATGTGTCTAGGAAATAAACAAAAAACATGGTTTAGCAAAGCTTAGCCGTTGTACGCTCAACAAACCTTTGAAGTCCCGATTAATGTGTTCATTACACAGGTCCAGACCAATGTTGCCACCTGGTTTCCCGTTCAAGTTCGCAACCCTGTTCCACATGAGGTGATGCCTTATTTGTGGAGGGGCGTATCCTCCTACACCTATAGAGTTGTAAACATAGAAGAATAATTTAAATTGCTGACAGACCTAACCTTGTGGTCAATTGTTTAAAAAACGGTTTTCCCCTATACGTTCTCACACTTAGAGCAACATGAACTTTGATTTGCTTGTAAACTTACATGCCAGGAAGTGATGGGCAATTGTGAAATATTTAGGATGGCGCCTGTTCCAAAATTGTAACATGTCCATCTTCCAATCATCAAGCATTGCTGCACCATCCCCTTCACGCACCGCCATCCTTCTAGACAGGTGCGAGAGGCCTTCCCACATTATTGCCTTTGTGTGGTTGCGGACGCAGTCATCACCTTCTGCTTCTAGATGGCATGCTTCACCACAATACCATGCATCTGGAATGATTGAAATAATTATGTCATTTTTTCTCAATAATAGCACAACAAGATGGCTATAGTTTACCCCCGATAAACAATCACTGTTTACCTGGGAGACATTCGTCCTGTGCAATCCCTTTGCAGCTCTTGTGATACCACTCGGCATTCCTGCAATGCTGCTTCAGGGCGCATTGCACCATATCTTCTGCACGCTTGTGGTGGCAGGAGCAGTACACGTAAGTGGAACTACCAGCGCATTCGCTGCTGCAGTACCAATCTTCATCAGAAGATGGCTCTTGCTTCAGTTGCACGCAACTTATGTGGTACCAGCCCACTTTGCATGATAAGCTGCAGCACAGTACCATGACATCGTCTTTCTCTATAACCAGAAAAAGATATAAAAATACCTCAATTACTGATTTAATCATTGTGTCTGAGTTTTACTTCTCGATAAACAGGTTTTTTCTTGAGTTTGCATAATACGCATACCTGCTTGACACGTGCAGAAAACGGAGTCATCAACAGCACTGTCCGGTGATTCGTCTGCATATGCTTTTGCAGCAAACCTGATCCCATCCATGTCAGGTTGCTCCCAGCAGAAGTCGACCACTTCTTGGGCGAGACGGTGAAGCCAATCTAGTTGGTCTTCACTCGTTCCCTGGCTAGGGAAGCTTTTCATGGTGGTTTCTTGCAGCTGCATAGCGCAGAGCAACACGTAGCCATCTGTAGTAAACTGTAAATAAATAAGTGAACCATTTCTTAAGACCAAATGGGCTCAGTTTCAATGCACAAAATATTGTAAGCATGCATGCTGTGCTTCTATCTCGTATACATTATTGCTGCTATTGAGTTTGCTTCTGCGAGCTGTCTCATTGTATTGTATTTTAACTTACTTCATACATGTCCCATACATGCTGGAAGTTGGACATCACATCCTTTCGAAGGGCTCGATGGTTGAAGTCCGATTTCAGCTGGCTAATGGTCCCTCTGTCAGCTATACTTGCTCCAACGAAAAACCTGTTATTGGAGTCCTATACGAGAAGAAATGAGACAGTTAGATATGTATGGTATTATTTCATTTATATATATAAATGGACTTATTAGAAAAAAAAGCTTTCATTTGCAAAAAATAAGAAATAAAAAATCCTTATGGATCATGCTGGTGAACCAATTTATTTTATTTTATCTAGCTATAAGGTAATCGTTGTTGTTCAGATGTTTATCTATAGCTGTTTTCAGCAAATATTTATTACTAACCTGAAGAAGCAGAATTTCCTTATGGAATTCCTGGGGTGCTGCCCACATGGAATCCAGGCGGTGATGCCAGTTCTCACCGTTGTTGCGCGCATGCTGTGTATGGATTATGCGCTCTATAGAGAGGCCATCTCCACCAACCAAATTTTCAACAGGTTTGCCTTCTTTTACAGCGACATATTGCTGAAGGTGCTCAAGCACAGCGACCATGCCAGACGTCGTCGAAGGATTGGCATCGACAACTTCTATGCTTACCTAGAATTCGAAAACAATAACATACAGCATGGTTACTTACTAAAAAAAAAAAAAAAGTGTAAGGTCAAGTCCAGAAGCATGGCAAAACAGAGATAAATTGGACAATTGCATTACATTGTCATGCACAATATAACAAACTTACAAACTCAGAGCGCTCCTGCATTTGGGAGAACCCCCAATGAATGATGAACAATATAGTGACATAGTGCAGTTGTGTACTAACTGTACCTCTAAATTCTGCTTCCAGAGTAGGAGCTGTTGATCGTGCTCTGCTCCCAACCGATCGACGTTATTCCGTGCACCTCCAACCCCTTGGCTGATGCCCATGTGACAGAGTGTCCGGAAGACCTTGTGTGGAGCTCCCTGCCGCCATAACTCGACACCAACACTCTGCTGCACGAAGTTGAATTTTTTAGGCGACTTCTTGTGCAGTGCTACTGCAAGCATGTGGCCAAGGCTCCTGTCTTGCTCCGCCTTTACCTCGTGTGGTCGAAGGTTCCTGCAATTAAATATGTCAAGATATCGTCTGCACCTGACATTTAATTGCGGAGTGTTAATTGTTAGCAGGAAAATGACTTTGAGCTATTATAGTAGTGTGAACAGTGTGAGAATTTATTGTGATGAAGTAAACTACAAAAAATCCCTAACAAAAAAGTAACCTTTTGCAGCCTTTCCGTCCTCTGGAAGTCTGCCTTCTGATCTGCCTTGCAACTGGCAATGTGGCATTAAAGCATGCCACTGTTGCAGGCATGATCGGCGCCAACTCATTAATTGCTGACGACCACGAAAACCTGGCCAGGGTTTCACGTGACAGCTTTTCAGTCAGAATTAGGCCTTGCTCCTGTTGTACCATCCTGAACTGAAGTTTAAAATTATGGTTACAAATTATTATTATTATTGTTTACATTTTCATGTTAAATACTGATTGATGTGATTCATTGATGATGTGATTCAATGATTATAGATTTTTTTTTTACTTTTCAGTGTATACGCTAGATCCACTTACATATAAATTAAGTGTAAAAAAGGGCCATCACATAGAAAAATACAACTTACCTCTTTCTTTATTATTGTGCATGCTGTTTCGATGAGTGCCTTTTTTGCCGCCTTTGAGTTATGGGCTAATATGGCAAATCCAGCTAGATATCGAAATGATTCGAAGTATTCAGTCGCTTTTTGGATATATGTTTTATTTAGCTGAGCCTCGCTGTTGCTCTCTGAGGCTGACGATGGCAAAACTGGTGACGGAGAGTGAAATGATGGTAGAGGTGGTTCAGTCAACTTTGGCGTTGAGAATGAAGCTTGCCGTTTAGAAGGCTGTGCTGGTGTCGAACTCGAACTACCAGGAGCAGACTCTGTGTGTTTGATTGGAGTTTTTCTATCCTGCCATCTTCGCTTTCCCGATTTCGTCGTATGTTTTGCTACCATTTTAAGTTTTGATAAACAAGCGGTGCAAATGAAATTTCCAGGTATAAAAAATTTTTGGGGTGATTTCTGAAACACTTTGCCAAACGTTCTAGGAGTGGTAATGGATAAGACAGAAATCCGCTTGAATCCTTTAAGTTTTTGCTCAAAAATAGAGTCGCAAACCACACAGGTTGCCATAATTTAAAAAGATATTTTGTTACATATTTTAAAATTGATTGTTACCAGAATTATTACTATGCCTATTTATACGAATATAAATGCACTGTATTATGTGGATTTTGTATTTTTAGTAAATATAATATTATATATACTATGTGTGTGTAAATTTCCACACACGCACTCTTCAATTGTAATTACAACTTGTCTTCACTAGACAGCTGCAGCCTTAATGTTTGTTTTGACCTAATTATTTTACTTCAATAATGTTCAAATACTCCGATTAATGACACATTCCTAAAGCGCGCGCACACACACAGAGTCAAAGGTGATCTTGATTTTCGTAAATCGCGCGCTTTCAAGGTACCGCTACGTCATCAGCTTATGATTGCGTATACAGCGACACCTCAAGTTCAACGTGGTGCATATATCAGAATTGTTTCGGATTTTCCGCGTACCGATCGCAACGCATGCGCAGTGGAGCTATGGCGGTCCGAGTTGATTTGAAAGTTTACTTCGGCTCTTGAAATTTGTAGGTAGCTTAGCTAACTAAGGTATTAGTTTTAATAACGACGCTTGAATACTATAAGATGAATGTTATACTTAATACTGAACAAGGCAGAAATCCTTAGATCATTATTTTATTTGAGATATACGTAATTGTTCGGTAGTTTTTGTACAGCTACAAGATTTTTCAATGGATGGATGTCAGGCGGTGTATTGACGTTAGTCACACTGCCTGGTTGGGTTACAACACTGACAGTGTTACTGTTACTGTTAGTGTTAAGTGTACGCAATGCCAATTGTTACCATAACCAAGGAGGTAGATACACAGTATGTATATCTACATAAATACATATATATATATGTACTATATAGTATGCATATCTATTATACATTAGATATACATGCAATAAGTGTAAATGATATATATGATCTAGCTCCCTTACCATAACAAGCAAATTCGTCCGCCATGTCTGAAACTGGATCACGTGATATACTTTGGCGAGCTCGCCCAGACCTCGCCTACGATAAACAGCCAATAGGAAATCAGTTGTTCACCGTTTGCGTTGTGTAAATACATTAATTATTCTTCAGCGTAAACGTCATAGATGATAGAAATAATATAGATAACCTATACTATCTATCTATATTATTTCTATGGTATACGTATATCAAGAGTCCATAATAGAGACTCTATACATAATACCAGAAGTAGATAGGGAATATTGGTTATAGGGAATAGGGGATAATAGGCTCCCTGACTTCCTATTATATATTTCTGATAATATCAGGAGTAGATAAGAGGGAAACTCCTGATAATATGAACTCTTGACGTATATATAGGTGTCTCTATATATTGCTATGGTGTGGGCAGAGGCGTATCTAGGAAAAACAGCGCCCGGGGCAAGTGCTAAAATTGCGCCCCTTCCAACTTCCGAGGCTCTCCGGGAACTGCCGAACTGATACGCCCAACAGGCCTACGTAGGCGCCGTAGTAGCCTAGCTACGGCCCGGCAGGGGCGTAAATCCGTACCGAGGAGTGGGGGGGATGATCGGCGATAGCCATCACGTACTAGCACGAGCACAAGCCCACACATACACACACACACACACACACACACACACACACACACCCACACACATACATACACACACACAAACGAACAAACAACAAACATACACATACACACACAAACGAACAAACAACAAACA